TATTGGTCCAGTGGTGAGGATTTTTGTTTTCTTTAAATTATGAACCTCTTAATGGCCTTGTCTTTGTGCATACTGCAGCAGCAAATACGCTGCACATGGCCACAGCCCTTTTTGGCATGACTGTTGTTTCTCCTTTTCTTTGTCATTTTGGAAGCAAGGACCCAAGAAAGACTCTTGAACACTTTAAAGAGGTCCTGTGCAGCAGGTTTGCCTAATGTAATACAGCATTTGATATCTTGACTGCTGCTTCCATGAGTGTTGATTGTGGATCTAAGCAAAATGAAGTCATGTCAATTTGTTCTCCATTTATCATGATGTTATTTATTCGTCTCTATTTATCATGATGTTATTTATTTATCCTAGCTGTTTTGCTCTAAGATTTGTAGTTTTTGACAGTTGTAGTTTTTGATCTTCATCACTATTTTAAGTTCTCTTTATTTCCAGAAAGCATCAACTGCATATCACAAGTTGTTAATAATGAGTCTTCCTCTAATCTTAATGCCACATTCTTCTTCATATAATCCAACCTCTTATATTATTCATTCAGCATATAGAGTGAATAAGTATGGTGAAAGGATACAACCCTGGCACACATCTTTCCTGATTTTAAATCATTAAATATCCCTTTATTCTGTTTAAATGACTGCCTCTTGGTCTATGTACAGTTTCCTCATGAGCACAAACAAGTGTTCTGGAATTCTCATTCTTCGCAATGTTATCTGTAGTTTGTCGTAATCCACACAGTTGAAAGCCTTTGCATAGTCAATAAAGTGCAAGCAAACAGCTTTCTGGTATTCTCTGCTTTCAACCAAGATTCACCTGACATCAACAATATAGCTCTACGTCCTCTTCTGAATCTAGCTTGAATTTCCAGCAGTTCTAGGGCTCTGTTCTGCTGCAATTGTTTTTTAAATATCTTCAGCAAAATTTTACTCGCATGTGAAATTAATGATATTGTTTGATGATTTCCCTATTCTATTTGGTCACCTCTCTTTGGAATGGGCAAAAGCGTGGGTCTCCTTCAATCGGTTGGCCAAACCTTTTGACATTTATGAGTGAGTGCCTCTTGTGTTCCATCAATTTGTTGAAAGATTCAATTTGTATTCCATCAGTTCCTGGAGACTTGTTTTTCACCAATGCCTTCAGTGCATTGGATCCTGAACATCTTCCTTCAGTACCATTGGATCTTGATCTTATGCTA